TGTTGGATGGAAAACATTTTATTGGAGTTCCTGAGCCAGGAAAGGGTTATGGTAGGTTGAGAATCAGCGCTCACGCTCGCCCCCTCTCCCAGTGGAGGTCATGGTCACTGGGCATCAGGAGTTGCGCTCCTCAGTCCTTTCAGCTGGAGGGAGAGGGGTCAGGGTTAGATGGGGAACCCCTGGGTGCCCAGTATAGGATGGCACGGATGGAAAGGAATTTCTGCCTCGATGTGAGTTCCCGTTCTCCTCTATATGTAGTAGTTAAGATCTCCCTTCAGTTTGGTGAGAAAGTTGATCCTCCTTTCCCTGTCCCCACTCTCTCTCCCATATCCTCTGTTTCTTCCCTTACCCCCAATATCCTCCTAATGCCCGCACCTCTTACCTTAGGAAAGGCATCCCAGTTGAGGAAAGGAAGTTTCCTTTTGATAGACTAAAAGAAAGAAAGAGAAAGAGAGTGCTGTGTTGCAGGTCAGCCGGGCATGGATCAGTAAGCATTCCCTTAATGAACTCCCACAGTAACCATAGTAACAATAATGTTATTATTTTGTCATTACTTTATCAAGAGCTAATATTTCCTGAGGACTTATTCTGTGTCTGCCTTGCACAAGCATGATTTCAGGGGGTTTTTACAGCAACCTTTTGTGGTGGGATTGTCATCCCCACATCACAGAGGAAGCTGAGGCCGAGGGAGCTGAAGGCATTCACATGAGGCCACGTGTGAAGTGAGTGCAGTCAGGAGACGCGGACCCCAGCTCTGTCACTGACTTTGCCTTCTAAGTGTGGGTGGGCCTCAGTTTTTCCATAGAGGATGAGGGTATTCAAATAAAATCTTGACCGATTAGGCTCTTCCTCTTCTGTAATTGTCTTTGGGGCTCTGCTCCTCCACCACCATCTTAGGAAAACACGGGTAGCCAGGACAGGCGCCGGGGGAAGCTTTCTTCGATTGACAGCCCATTGGCTAGCATCCAGGCAGGGCAGTCACTCCCTCCCAGAGCTCAGGAACCAACCCGTACATTTAAAGCCCAAATGTGCTGCCACTACCCTGGGATGACTGCAGACAACCAAGGAGGGCAAGGGGCGCCCAAGCACTCACCTCAAAGAGGGCATGCCAGTTCAGGAACTCATCAGCCTTAAAAGCCTGCGGAGGAAGAGGGACAGCAGAAGCAGGTCAGCTCCAGGGGAGGCCAGAGCTTAGCCCCTAGCCCTCTGGAGAAGGTGAAGAAACCGTGGCAGCTTTGCAAGCTCTCTATCAAGGCCTTTATCCCCTCTGTAATGAAGGTATTCACGGGGGCAGCACCAGAGAAGCATACTCACAGATCGCAACTTGTCGATGTTCAGGAACGGGGTGTTAAAGGCCTAGGCAGAAAAGCAGGGTGTTAGGAAAGTTGCTAAGAAGCACAAAGACAGAAAGGACAGACTCACGGCTGGAGGGCCGGGGAAAACCGACGGCTTACCTCGGGTCGTGACGCATAATTCTCAATGGTGCTTTCTTCCTAGAAAGGGAGAGGGAGAAAAGGAGGCAGGTGGTCACGTGACGCCAGGGCCCTCACCCACATCCCTGTCTGCCAGCTCTGCCTTCATCCACAGGCCAGTCCCCGAAAGAACGCAGCTTGTTCTCCACCACGGTCTCCATTCCAGTTGCGCACATGGTTGGTGGATGTGCAGGGTGAGGAGGGGGAATGGGAGAATGGTACATGTAAGCGGTGTCGTGATGGGCAGCAGGCAGAAAGCCTGGAGCCGAGCATTCTTCCGGGAAAAACTAGCGAGTGCTGTCCTGCAGTTAACTTAATTCTAAGAGGTGGGGTGTTCTGGAGACAGCCATGCTCAGTCCGTATAGCTGGATGGGAAAGATTCGCGTGCAGGTGGGAGCCCAGCTGCTGAGGTGAACCGCCTGCCTCTCACTGATCGAGGTTGCTTTGCTTTGTGGCTTTATTGCCACCACTGTTGGAGGCTCCGTTACCCCCCTCCATGGGGACCCCACCCCAGGCCTCAGTGTGCCCCATCGTGTCCTCCCCAGGACAGAGCCAAACACGGAGCCTGCAGGCTGGATCCAGATGCTCAGATCTCATAAAAATTTGGCTCATTTGTTTTTCGGTTTGAATCGGACATTTTGAATTAGTAAGAATTCATAAATTCAGCCCGATTTCTAGTTTCCCCTAAAAATTTTAAAATTCTAGGCACGTCTTCCCACTCCATGGTGTCAGGTAGTGTGAAAGCTGCACTTTCAGACTGGGGAAGTCAGCCCCCCTTCACCTGAGGCCCCGACAGTCCCCCAGCTCAGTGACACCACTGGCTCGGTCGTCAGCCGCTGAGCCTGTGCCCCTGTCTTAGACTTTTAAGCAGGCATCAGGATTCCTCTCTGGCTGAGGACTGGATGGTAAAGATTCTCACCGTGGTCTGCGCTCCAGAGACAGTGAGGAGCCACCCGTCACCAGGGCACTGCTCACAGGGGCACAAATAAAGCAAAGAGGGGCTGAGCAGGGGTGTCCCAGAGCACCCCAGCCCCACTCCTCCTAGAGTTAAGTCAGCTGCAGGCAGCATTAGCTAGTTTTTCGCTTTGCTCCACCCTCTCCACCCGCTGTCCATGTGGACGCAGGCCTGGGTTTGGAGCTGCTCTGTCTCACATTGCCGTTCTCCAGTTCCCCCTCTTCCCCTGCACATCCCCAGGCGTGTGTGCGCTGGAACAGAATGGGTGAACACTCTGAGGGCCCACGGTGGAGATCGTCTGAACCCAGACGACCCACTCAGTCCTGTCTCCTCCCAGGGTTCAGTACACGAGCCTCCCCCACACACTTCACCATCCCTTCCAGAAAGAGGAGCATCTCTGTCCCAAATGTCTCCCCAGGGATGCTCTGTTCCCTCCTCCCTTCCACAGAGCCCCAACTTCTTCAGCCCCTATCAGAATCCAAAACTAAGAGCCACCTATCCAGGAATGGACAGAAGGTAGAGAGATGGAGGGGTAGGTGGGTAACATGTATAAGAATAAAAATGCAGGTGATGTGCTCACCTCAGGACCACCCAGGGTGGCTCCCTGGGCAGAATGGAGCACCAGGAGGGAGAGAAGCACCACGGCAGGAAGGACCGGGATCTTCATGGCATCAAGTTTGGGGTGCTCTGAGGCGGGGCCTCAGTGCTTGCTCTTTATATTCCCAAGGAGGCAGATGAGCACAGAAATGGGGTCCCCACCCCACTGACTCATCCTCAGAGCCTGTCGCCCACCCCCGGGGCTCTGGGAGGGGGAGGCATGGACTGTTCCTCATTTGCCTTGGATTTCTCAATTCGCATTCTGCCCCAGGCACGTGGAAGGTGAGACTGCAATGGGTCTCTTCATGCAGATGGGGCTGGGACAGAGACAGGTTGGACCTGTCCCTCCGAGGGATTGGCAGTGGTACCCAAGCAACCTCTCCTTTTGTCTTTGTCTCTTTTCCTTATATCCCTATTCCTCTCTTAGAATTCAGGCTTTTTTTTTTTTCCTTTTTTTTTTTTTAAGACAGGCTCTCACTCGTTGCCCAGACTGGAGTAGAGTGAGGTGATCATGGCTCACTGCAGCCTTGACCTCCCAGGCTCAAGCAATCTTCCCACCTCAGCCTCCCTAGTAGCTGGGACTAGAGGCACGCATAACTTCACCCAGCTAATTTTTTTATTTTCTTGTAGAGATGTTGGAGCTTTTTTTAAATTTTCTTGTAGAGATGAAGATGTCTCGCCATGTTGCCCAAGCTGGACTCAAACTCCTGGACTCAAGTGGTCCGCCTGCCTTGACCTCCCAAAGTGCTGGGATTACAGGTATCAGCCCGCGCTCCACACTAATTCAGGCCGTTTTTTCACCCTACCAAAATCTATGTAAACTCTTTAGCTTGGCAGTGAAGGCAGTCTATGCTCTGAACTCAACCCACCTTTATAACTTCTTCCATTACTCCCTTTGTACCTACCTCACATTCTGACCAAACTGGACTCCTTACCAACTGTATCCTTCTTTTTTCCTCTTTCAAGAATCCAGCCATGCTGTTCCTTATTCCTAACATGGCCTTCTCTCATCTCCAGTTCTCAGAACCCAGCACTCTTCTTGGATGAAGCTTCCCAGACTTTTCCTGCCATGCCCAGTCCCTCTCTCCACACCTTTCCTTTCACAGAATTCCCATATTCATTCGTTTGTATGTCTCTGGCATTGTATCTAAGTAAGTCATGTTCTTGCCTTGTTTCCCTTCCAGAATATCAAGTTCCTTGAGGTCAGGAGCTGTATCTTGATCAGCTTTACATCCCCCTAGTACCATGGCTCACACAGAACCCAGGTGGAGTCAGCATTAGTCAGACCGGATACGTTAGACTTAGTATTCAAGCATCCTTCTGCCACAGTGTACATTTTTCTTCCATGGGGCTGAACCTTTCCATTTTCCAACTGCCCATCTTTTATTCTTGGGTCTTCAGAGAAATGACTGTCTTGAGCTAAGACAACAAGGAACAGGGAAACAAAAACCAGGTCTTAGGGTGCCCAGTTGGAGATGGGATCCAGGTACCCTGAACTTGGAGTGCCCACTCCATGTCATTGCCCTAACCCACCTTGCCCCACCCCCGGTTTGGAAGTTGGATCACCTCACTGTGACACAACGTCCTAGTCAAGCAGCCTTCTCCACAGTGAAGTTCAGGTGGCCAAACCGGCTCCTGCTGTAATAGGGAGGGGCTGGGACATGGACCGGCGCTGCCAGGGCAAAGCAAGACCTTATCAACCCAACCTGATGCAATGCACCGTGGCGGCCCTGGGTGGGAGGGCTGGACGGTGTCCATGAATAACCTTTACGAACCCCAGCAGCTGGGTACCTCGGCTCCATCCTCACGCTGCCCCCACACCCCAGTCCCAGACATCCTGCCCCTCTTCAGCCTCCTCTGATTTTATAACGGCAGCTTCCCCTTTGCAGAGCTACCTGAGGGAACACTGCTTGGAGAACACTCCCTTAGCCCAGATGGCCATGCAGTAGTAGATGTCACAGAGTTGGTGCTCCTGGAAGGGACAAGTTAGAGAATGACTGAGGTGGGTGGAGCACCTCCCAAAAGGTTTTCTGGAGGACACAAGTTCTGTGTAATGAATCTTACTAATTAACGAACAGTGACCGAAAAAGCTCATTAGCCACCGTTCCATCCGCATAGGGTCAACTCCAGGAGTGAAGAATCAGACAAAAGAGAACTGATGTGTAATCAGCTATGATTTGACAGATGGGTGGGGGGACCCGGCGCCAGTTTTGGCCTAGGTGATCTAGAGCATCAAACAATCCAACGCCGTCTTCTGTTTGGCTCTAGAGTCTAGTCTGTGATTGTCCTTTGACAATAAATTGCCCTTCCTATATTTTCCTCTCCACCTCATGGTTCTGATAAGAATGTTAGCTGAGTTACTGAGGCTTACTATGTGGCAGACCTTGTACTAAGTGCTCCAAATACGTGATCTCATTGAAATGTCCCAGTGATTCTGACACAGGTGGGTACCATAATTACTCACATTCTATAGGCGGGGGAACCACAGCATATAGAGGTTAAATAACTCACCCCAGGTCACACAGCCAGAATGTGACAGGACCAGCATAGAACGCTGGGCTTCCAGAGCCTGAACCTGTATCGCGCCTCTCTATGCTGGACAGGCTATGTTACCGCCCATGTAACACCCCGTGTGAATTAGACCTATGCCCTGAGAGTGGGGGGCAGACTGCATCAAACCCCCGCAGGTCCCCTTTACAGTGTCCTTTGTGAGGCATAGCCCGCACCATCAGACATGGCAGCCCCAAGCATAGGTGCATTCATTTAAATGAATCAAACTGCACGCTCTTGACAAAATGAAAACGAAGAACTAAGGTTAGTGGCATCAGCCCCCGAATGAACCTGCAATTGCCTCAGTTTCCAGATGCCTCCAGTAGTAGAATCATCTTGCCACGCCAAGTATGTGTTTACAGATAGGGTTCTGGTTCTGGCTCTAGTGTTCAACATTCTGGTGTTTAAAAATAGGTACTTTTTGTATCGTGCCTCTAAACACAGGCCAACTACTTTGTGTGCTCAACCAAAGAAATTCTGTTCCTATGCTGGACAAAAAAAGCTGTCTGTGTTGGACATGATTTGTTTCCACTTGGCACCTTCCTGGTAGATTTTCTGAGGGTAATTTTTGGGGGTTTTGTTTGTTGATTTGTTTGTTTTTGAGACAGAGTCTTGCTCTGTCACCCAGTCTGGAGTGCAGTGGTATGATCTCGGCTCACCGCAACCTCCACCTCCCAGGTTTAAGTGATTTCCTGTGTCAGTCTCCAGAGTAGCTGGGGTTATAGGCATGGACCACCACACCCAGTTAATTTTTGTATTTTTAGCAGAGATGGGGTTTCACCATGTTGGCCAGGATGGTCTCAAACTCCTAACCTCAAGTGATCCCCCCGCCTCGGCCTCCCAAAGTGCTGGGATCGCAGGAGTGAGCCACTGCACCCAGCTAGTTCCATCCTGACATGATTTTTGCTGTGCCAGCTTTAGAAGCCAGTGTCTCTCTCCAGACTCCTCCCGCTTCCTCCATCTATGCTGCCTCAGTAGTTTGTGTCCCTGAGTTGGGTTGGGCAGATGGGGGAAGAGAGGGGCAAGGGGTTCTCCCTGGGAGGAGGGTCCCAGCAGTTCAGGTGATGGGTGGCAGGAAAATCTGCCGGATATGCAGCTCAGCTTTGGATGAATCACGGAGGGTTAATGGAGTCAGGCAGCCGCAGAGACTGGCTCTGCAACATCACATCTCCAGGTCGGCTTGACTTCCTAGCTCCCTCACTGAGAATACCAGTAAACCCCTGTTTTCCCACAGGCCTGCCCCCACCCCACCCCAAATCTGCCAGAACTTGAGTGTGGGTAGGAGGCGAGGCCCAGCCCCGATTGCCCCATTGTGAGACACACCTAGGGCCTGGCAGCCAGCCTCTTGGGTCTAGGGAGGGAGTGGGGATTCCAAGAGATAGACACTGGGTTTTCGGGGCCTTGGCGAACACTAGGTGGAAAGCCAGGAATCCTGGGAGAGAAAGGGGGCTGGGGTGTGGAGTATTAGGAGGCAGAACTCAGGGCATCCCTGTCCCATCCCTTCCTCCCTTTGTCAGTGTTGTCACACCCAAGAAAGCAGCCTCATCCACCAGCAGGTCCAGTTTCTTCCTTTGCCACCACCCTATGTGCCCTGTGCTTAAACCTCTCCCGGGAAGTCTTCCTGGATTGGTCCCACTTAATCCCAATCCCTCTCTCCATTGGCTAATTTGTAAATATTTATTTTACTCTTGGTGCTGGGGACTGCAGAAGGACAAAAGACCTGCCCTACGGAGTCCACATCCTAGCGAAGGAGACATCATAATGCAACAAAAAACAGACACACAAACAAGATTACTTCAGAGAAGGACAGGTGCTGCGAAGAAAACGGGGCCATTTGATGCTGACAGGGCTTCATTGGTCGATGGCCTGAGGGTCGGGTGCAGTGGCTCACACCTGTAGTCCCAGCACTTTAGAAGGCTGAAGCAGGAGGATCACTGGGGCCCAGGAATTCCAGACAAGCCTGGGCAACATGGCAAGACCCCATCTCTATTAAAATACAAATTTTAAAAGGTGGCCCAGGGAGGGAAATTTGAAATTAGTCCTAAAAGCAGATGAAGCTCTGGCTTTCTGAAGACCTTGGTAACAGCCGCCCATATTCCCTGATGGCCTGTGCCAGTAGGCCCAGAGGGACCTTAGAGAGGGAGGCCAGGCCCATGGCATAGAGCCGTGGTGAGGAATGGAGATTTTATTCCAGGGCTAATGAGAAGCTGGTGGTAGGTTCCGAGCACGGGCTCCTTCCTGGGCGTTGTGGAAGAATGGGATCTAAGGAATAAGATGGAAGCTGGGGCTTCAGGAGGTCACTGGAGGAGCCCTGAAAGGAGAAAGGGGTACCCACCCTTAGTTGGAGGGCCCCTTATGCCAGGGGACCTTAGCCTGCCTCTGGTGTCACTCTAAGCTTTCAAGAGCTGCTTTCAGCTCTTTGGGCCACGAGCACCCCACGAGCCAAGAACCGTGCTCACCCCGCGTCTCCCAGTGCCTCAGGGACTGGGCCGAGGAGACCTCAGCTCCCCGCGGGTTTCCACCCCCACCCACGCTCCAGGAAGCTCCCTCTGCAGCCAGGATGCAGCGTCCTCCCTGGGACAGCCCCGCGCTCTCCCCCTTGTGGCCTC